TAAGCTGGGCTCGCGACGACTTTTATAGTCTGTCCCTTGCGTACCCCAGCTATGGCATCATACGTCTTTCAGTTCTTCTGCGGCGAATCCCAAGGATCCAACCCGCAACCACGTGTTCTTGCATTGCAAGGACCAGCTGAGGAAATACATCCTCAACCGCGGCCGAGACCAGCCTTATCACATCGGGCACACAATGCCTCCAGATCCCCTTCGAGGCGTCGTGCAAGAAATTCTCGCTCACGGAGGCCACGGCGAAGCCGTACACCAAGAAGGACCCGGCCACAGATGGATACACCAATGTATCCTCCGGGCAACTGGCGAGCCCCAGCACCTTGGGTTCCACCACCAAGACAGGTCATGCCGCCACCTTCGGTGCCACCGCCTCCATCATTTGCTCCCCCGGGCAATGTGTCAGCATACTGGTTTCCACCACCGCCGCCTTTGTCACCACCTGTGGCTACACCTTTTGCGGCTCCAGATTTGCGAAAGCCAGCTGAACCTCGTACACCGCCGAGGTTAGCCAGGCCCAACAAGGCACCGCAACAGTCGGTACCAACAGCACGAGTCCCAGCAGCTGATCTTCCGGGCCCAAGCCAGCCCACAAAGCAGGCCAAGAAAGGGTCAACGGCCTCCAATCAACTGGCCCCATCGGAGAGCCAGCAACAGATTGATGATCAGTTTTTTCGGAGCCTTATGTCTGCCAACATCAATGATGTTGAAGACCAGCTGGAAGTCCAGCTGTCGGGATTTTCAGCAACAGATCATATACCGGGAGGGATGACCACCCTGAGTCAATACCTTTTCTACCGTCAACAACTTTTAACGGCTCCTTTCCCGGATCAATGGGTTATGGCTCCCTGGCAAGCACTGCGAAGCAATGCAGCCCGGACGGCACTGGTTCGTAAGTACCAGCGCCCCTTCGCATCTCTCAAAGACCCTGAGAGACAACGATGTGCTCGGTTTTTGCTCAGTTTGTTTCCGGAGCCTGTGCCACAGAATACAATCGGCACAGAAGAATTTTTTGGCTTCGTGGACTGCATTTTGCAGTCCAGACTTCACTATGAGAGGCACTTCGAAGAAGGTGCCTCAATGTTTCATGATGTGGAAGAAAATGTAGTCGGATATCGGTTTCGGCGACGGTGTACAGGCTTTCCAGGCCCACCCCTGGCCCAGCAAAACTGGCATCTATGGGCACATGCCACTACGAGGGAAGGAGCCACCGGAATTTTGGCTACAGGCAAGATCCTCCCTACGGATCACAGTGTAGCTGGCCTGGAACCTCAAGAAGATACATTTTCTTTTTACGGCAGAAGTACAACAAACCCCAACTGGGGTGCAGGAGTTGTACAGCTCGCCTGCAAGTGTTACCACTCAACCAAGAATTGTTCTGGAGTGGTTTTTGCAGGCTTATTGCCTAGCAACCACATTAAGGGCAAGAATGCATGCACCAGATATGAGAACAATCTGGCGAGATTTCATGCCCTGGTCCACAGCTGTTCTTCGGACAAACGCTGGGCAATTCGGTTCGCGGCAGCTCGAATTGATTTTGTCTTTGTTCTTTCAGAACGAAGCAAAGCTGACTACCCTCAGCATCAGAGCAGACAGCGCCGCAGAACTAGAGTTAAAGCTGTCGGAGATGAGCCTACTTTGGCTCTAGCAGATGGCCCTCCAGATGACGACTGGGGCCCATGGGCTAATCCAAAAGCCCCTAAGATAGAGCTGCCTGAGGAACCGGAGGAAGAGAACCTCATGGCAGCAGCGACAGCTTTTTCAAATGCTCCGGCTGCAAGCTGATTTAATTCGTACAGCAAGAAAAGAATCTGCAGCCTCATGTGCTCAGTGGTCAATGTTGTAAGATCCTGCATATGCAAATCTATGCCAGGATATAAAGTTTTTGGCTCCCATGCAGTTGGGTTGTGCAATGGCCATGGACCAAGCTGCGGAGCATCGGCAGCCATCACCTGTTTCATCAACGTCCTCGTGGCATTCTGCTTTTGATCCTCCTGAGGAAGCTCGTTCTTCCCGTGAGCAGAAGGTAAGTTCCAAAGACGAAGCTTCTCGCAAGAAAAGCAAGAAGCATAAATCCAAGAAATCCAAAAAGATTTCAAAGGACAAGGATCAAGCCAGTGTGAAACACTCTTTTACAGTTGAGCCAACCACCTCCCGCGTTGTTCACACTGGGGACGTGGTACTTGATGCCATTTGCAATAGCAAACCTGTTTCTGCCCCTACGGGGACCAATACCACGGTGTACAAAGGCACAGGAGTAGCCAAAATGATGGCTCGAAGCGGTTTTCGGTGTACATGCCATTATGTGCGTGCCCACCTTTGTCCAGTCAGGCTCATCGCCAATGAATTTGGCGAAGGGACATAGTTTCACACTCCAGAGCAAAGTCATTTACAGCTTTGTTGTGTTAGCCAGAAAAGCCGATCTTCCTTTTGAGTGATTCCCTGCCGAAAACCTGCGACAATTTTCATGGACTGCAGGCTCCATCGGCTTTCTTCAGTAATCCACTCTCTCTACAAAGCCACATGTCGGCCTTGTCGCTGGTTATGTCCGAACCCGCCATTGTGGCAAGAGTGGTATCATTTATTTCATCGCGAAAGCACATCTTCTTCTTCTACTACAATCCGGCGTTTTGGACCGAAGAAGATCGCGATCAACTTGAGCTTGATGATTCTTCCGAATCAGAAGAGCCGTATCCGGACAGTGCGGCTCGTGTCATTTCTGATCGCATTCGTCAACGCTTTCGCTCAGTTTTGCCTGCCGATACTTCACTTGCACTAGGCAGCCTCAATTACGGGTCCATTCGCGAACATTTTGTACAAAGGGAGTGCCCAGCACAGCCACCTGGCTGGCCCAATGTACTCTATGTACCCATAATGTACAATACGGCACCAATGCCACAGATCACCTTTTATGGGGCGGTCAACCGAGTCTTCTTTCGATCTGTCCTTTATCTCTATAAAGGAACACTGTACATCGCTTTTCGGCAATTGCTGCTACAATCTCAACAGAAAGCCATCTTTTTTGATTGGCTTTGCACCGGTCGAGAAGATCGATTCCGAGTGAGCTCTACCCTTATTTCCGATTTGCGAGTGTTTCGTGTTATTTCACCCCTGGCTGATATGCCATAATCATCTGATGGCGACGCTGAAAAATCACGGCTGAACGTCGAAGATCTTTGTTTCCAACGATTTCACTGATGAAATACCTCCGTAGTCTGTGGCTTTCAGTGGAGTGTACTCAGTACATCATGTCAGACCGGAGCCGATCTCGTTCTCCGCAGATTTCATGGCGTTTTTACTGGTCCAAAAGCACGGCAACCGATGGTCAAGACCGGTGGTGGAAAACGTGGTTCCCTGCCACACAGCAGTGGATCCAAAATCGCCTTGCTGCGGATAAGCTCTGGGACCAAAACCCAGCATCGACTGAGACGACTACCATTTCTGAGAACAATACTTCGTGTTCCCAGTCGCCTCGCAAAAGACGGCGAGATGTCTCTCCATGAAAGCCAATTTTTTGCATGTAATTAGTCTTGCCAGTCTTTTCACTGGCCGTTTTCATTAACAGCATGTACGGTGCATACCCAATTATTGGGATGCCAAGCAATGCCTATTTTCACTATTCGATTGAGCTCAGGTGCTGCAAGTAGAAAATTTGCACAGATTTCAAGCATCGCTTCTGCCACAAGTGGCTACCCCGTTTGCGGGGTGTGTGTGTGGAACACCTGTTTGCCAAGGTTTGCTGAATTGTATTAAGATTGCAGGGGGGCAGTGAGCCTTCTATCATCCACTGCCCAACGAAGACGGTGATAGAAGTGCTGTGATGCAATCTGGGACGCCAGATTGTGTACCTGCATTGGAATGGCACTGGGGCCAAGCCATAAACCCCATATGAGTGCAGTTTTGATTCAGGCCAGAGGTAAAGCCTAAATCCTCTTAGAGTCCTACACCTCTGAATGATACGAATGCAATTCTTGAGATTTACATTAGTCCAGAGGGAGGATTGCACGAGTGTGTGTCACACTCCGTCACTAGGGTCAACAGTCTGATGCTTGTCATAAAAAGCAGGGGGACTGCCTGATCTCTGATATGAGCTGAAGACACCTGGCGCAGGTATCTGCATGGCCATCCGAATCGTGCACCTTTAACCGCTGTTGTTTCGAGTGGCCGCTTTTGTGTTGAAAGCTCTTTTGGGCCGATGACGCAGGTGAGCCCAGCGGGCTCCACTTCACTACAAGAAAACTGCTGCCGAATCCCCAGTCTCTTGAGGGAAGATTGGTAGAGTTAATGGTCCTTAGACCTGACAGCTTGGGCTGGAACAGACACACCGTGGTGTTGTATCAAGGGGGCTCAGTAGTTGGTGTAATAAAGAACCTCAGCAAAAGGGCGCCATATATGCTTGGGAATATGCAGTAGTATGCAGTCATGTCATTGCTGCAAGCTGCAATCAGGGCGAGTATCCTAACGCGCAAACAAAGCGGGGGAGTCCGGGAGGGGGGGCCCGGCCCCGCTTTGGAACCCTATGGGCAATTCCCCCCCCCCCTTCCACAAGTTTTCAACCCTCACCACCCTTGTTATAACGTAAAAAATTATCTGCGCCTTCTAATAGAAGGCAAGACCAGACTACATAGGCTGTTACATAGGTGGAACCGTAAACGACAACTCCCGCAAGCTTCCCAGACATAGCTTTCGTGACATGGCTGGGACCTTCGGGCCGCATCCAGTGCCGACTCAAGACTTCCGACTTTCCAAGGCTTGTTGAGAGGTCCGAGATAGACCAAGGCTTCTTGTTTGCTGGTAGATTGCAGATCGGCTTGGGGCATGCACAGTATGTCGAAATAGTCACAATGCGTGGTGGAACCGAACTGCATCATCCTGTTTACCGGGCCGAGGGGCAGCCAGTCGCTGAGACCTCGGGCGACTGGAACGGATACGGTGGCTTTTTGCGACATGCAGTTCGACAGGCAACCGTTCTTGCCATACCATCTACGCCCTTAACTGGTGTCGAGTTGCTTGTGCCAAAGCTCCCGCGCGATGTTGGCTCCAGGACCCGGCTCACTCCTCTCGGAGAGAAGACAGTGCACCTCCAGCTCTGCCAGACCGCCCCAAACCGCCAAACCTGACAGATGAGGAAGCGATTTGGAACTTACGAAGTGCACAAATCGTTTGCTGAAGGCCGAAGTCACGACTGTCCTGAAAGGCGCATCGGGGCTGTTGGCGACAAGTCCACGCTGAACAGCTTGTGCCACTCGCCTTCACTGCCGCTTGTCGTCCTAGTCGTCCTGCAGGAAGTGGAGAGCCAGCCGTGAGGTGGTAACAGACCGAAGACGGAGATCTCAGCATTGCAGAAGGATCCCACGACGACACACGCTGTGCCAAGCTTGTCGCCCTCGACGACAGCAACGAGCTCACCCTCTATGCTTTGCTCGTTCCCACAATGCAATTTTAAGCCGTCCTTGGTGTGTGTGTGTGTGTGTGATGTGACATCCTTCGAATAAAATGATGCAATCGTCTCGGGATGGGTCTCGAGACCTGGTTCAACAAGATTGACGCGTCTACGGAATCTACTTGTTGTGCCTCTGGCAGGGTATGACAGAAGGCAGCAACCTACAGCAACAATTACTAGTACTAGCAGCTTTCAGCGAGGCTCTCTTCTCCGTTCGAAGCACAGCGGCAGCAAGTGACGATGACAGGGCACCACCTGCAAACCTCCGAGGCCTCCGAGGCCTCCGAGGCCTGGGACAGGGCCTCCACTGCTCTGAGACGTTTGGCTCAAGCTTAAGCTCTTCAAGCTGTTCAAGCTGTTCGCTGAGAGTCCACCTCCAAGTCCTTCAGCCGTGGTCTGAACCATCTCCCTCTCCTCCAGCTCTTGGACGAGAGGCTCTGTCTGGACGGGGCGAGCTGGCGCGTGACAGGTTTGACCACCTGGCAGCATCAAGGCTGGAACCGTCTGAGTCTGGCTCTCCGGCGCCTTCTGCTTGTGATCGACTCGACAGAGAAAAGCCGCAGAATGCAGTGCACGGATCTCGACGCAGTCACCGCCGCAGAGGAAATCTTTGGAGAGCGGCTTCTCCAAGCTTCTGCTCTTGCTGCTCTCTTTGTCTCTGTTTGCCGCCCATGCGAAGCAAAGAATCTGACCACTTCCACCGACCAGCAGCTGGCAACCATCCTTTGACCAACAGAAGCAGGAAGACGGAAATCCGACTTCCAGTCGCAAATACTCCTGACCAACGAGTCCTCCGGCTTCTCCACTGCCCTCAACAGAAACCATGAGCACTTGCGTGGAGAGAAGGAGGCACAAAGCTAACGTGTTGCACCCTGTGGTGCCATGGACCCAACTGATCGCTCTTGCAGACTCAGCACCCAATATGGTCACTCCCAGCGAATAAGTCTCGGGTATTCTCTGCTGCTCCAGACTCCAAACACAAGCTCTGGCACGGCCGGCGATGACTTCTAGTGATGCAAACATGGGATGTCCGGGACATAACAGAAGTTGCCGGGGGTTCTCCAAGCGCTCAGACTCTCCCAGCCTCCGGAGAACATAGGTTTGGCAGGGCGACACTGCTTCCTCCTTCTGGTAGCGACAGAGATATAGTTGCTTCGCCGTCTGATCGAAGAGCAGAAACTTGGCTCCCACATCTCCGGTCTGATTGTCTTGCACAGATCCTCCAAGTAAGTTCTGTCGAGCTCGGTAAGCATGACAGCCCCAGGAAAAAACAACATCAGCCTCGGCCTCTTCAGCCATGCTGTTCCGACTCCCCAACCGCCTAACTCCGCCCCCCCTTGATCATTTCAACGCCTGAGGGCCCAAGGCCAGCTCCTGAGCACACAAGAAGGTGCCCTTGCAACTTGCAACCGAACGCTGTGTGAAAGCTGCACTTACGCATGCTGGAACGATAAGACGGCCGCTTTTATCCCGCAACCTTAACGCACTTAGGAGCGCTGCAAGGCCAAACCACAAAGTCCAGCAAGCCAAACTTGGAAGCCTGCTCCGATATGGGACCTGATAGATCCAAGCACCAAGAGCGCTCACTAGTATCTGTCAGTATCAATGCACTATCTGACATGCGCTCAAGTGGCCTGAAACCAGCCCAAGGCCTGCGAGAGATTAAAGAGCAATGGCTGCTGACTCACTTTGGTTCCCGAGGCCGCCCCAAGTGTTGCCTCTTTGGAGCCTTATCCACCATCTTCTGAATGTCCGAAGCCTCTTCGCAGGCCCGCGAAGCTTCTGACCTTCTCGCACGTTGTCATATACGGGACCACGAGCCCTAAGCCTGCCTGGCCTACCAGCTCTAGACTGTATGCTAATGAAGACCTCATGTGTCAAAGGCTGGGTGCGGATGGAGCCACCTGAACGGCTGGGAACCAGAGTGCCAAGTCGAGCGAGGTTGTGGATGTGCTTGGGCAAGGAGTGACACCCACTGTTCAGAAGCACCAGCACATCTGACGGCGGGAACGGCGAGCGGAGCTAATTTGCACACACATGGCAACACACGCACTCTCCGCGCTGCGCCCGCCTCCTCGGCCTTCCAGGGCGATCCTGAGTCCAAAGTCCAAGGAAGTGTAGCGAAGCCAGATACGACTGGGGCTCACGCCGTCCGATGAGAGAACCATAGGCCTGATGTCTCTGCATGGGAAGCCCAGAGCGCTCTTGAAGGTAACACCTGGGCAGACACGTCGACGGACCGCCCGGCGGGATCACTCGCAGCTGACCCTGAGTTGCCAACAGCTTCTGGATGGTGTTGTACTCACGAACCGCAAAAGGTGCGTCCGAGAACTTTATGGCGTCCGACGCAGAGTTGACATTGCAATCCTGGGTTCTGCCGAATTGACTTGTTCTCGAAGGGCAATGAACGATTGTCTCTTACATGCGGAGTCGAAGCTCTGCAGCTCGCCAAAGCACCAATCCTTCGGCTTGCCGTGCGGAGTCGAAGACCCCCACTCGACAGTCAAAGTGTGCCATGACGATCTCTGGAAGTTGCAGGCCTCAACAGCCCAGCTGCCACCCAAACTGCAATCTCTCTCTCTCTCTCTCTCTCTCTCTAAAAACGGGCCGGCCTCGTGCAGCCGCCAGCTTCGCCAAAGAGCGGTTGCATGCAGCGCTGGCTACGCCTCGTCTCAATTCGTCTAAGGGGTCAACCCGCAATTGACCGGAGGTTTGACAGCAGTGACACGGAAGCCGCAAGAAGCTATCACTAGTCTCACCATAATTTCTGAATATGCGGTTTGCTTAGTCTTGGCTGTGACCCTGTAGCTTGTCGCGATTCTGACCAGAGTTTCTACGATAGTGATGGAAATGCGAACATTGCACGGTGAAGACTCTCCTTTCCTTTGCGATGTCCTGCCAGGTTGCTTGCTGCAGTGCTCACCCACCAGGACACGGAGCCGTCGCACACTCGGCTTCCCGGTGGGACGATAATTGTCATCTCGTCACCTTAGCGTATTCAGGCAGTGAAACCTTCTAACTTCTAACTCTTAAACCCACAAGCCCTACAACCCCGCAATGTCGTCGGCTGTCCTTTCGACCCAGCAGATCAGATTTTCGGGCTTCCAAAAGCGCGTCAGGGAATCAGGGCTTCAGCTGTTTCCATGGGCCATTTGTGAAGACTTCAGGGTCATGTCAATGCAGGGCATCAGGGGTTTTGGGGCCGTAACGGCGTTCAGGGTTTCCGTACGGATGCTCGAATTGTTTTGTGCAGATGCCCGACCTTTTTGACTTCACGCCCCCCCAGTTTGAGGACCAGCATGGACCAGCACTTGGGGGAGGAATGCAAAATGCGATGCATCCTATATATAATGCGATGCATCCGATATGGAATCGGACTAGTGGCTCGTACAATGTTGGCCAAACACTTTACCTTGCTAGCTGGTCTGTGCCGGGCACGCTTCCTCGCTTTACCTGTTCCGCATTGCCCGTGCAGCCTTTTCGGCTGTCACTTCTCGTAATGCGGGAGCAATGCGCAAGCTGAAAATTCCCCATCCCACGCGGTTGGTTTGGACCAGGTTGCTGTGTGTGTAGCCCAGAATGCCATCAAACTCGCACATGACCTGAGGTCGTGCTGCAATTGACGAGCACAAGTCGCAAACAGTAGAGCAAGGTGTACACAAACCTATATAGGTCCTACGTCTCTTTCCGAAATCATGGGGGGCAATGAGAAGAATCATCAGCCGCCGCTATTCCGAGTCAAGCTTCAGCCCGGCAGGATGTGATCATGGCTTCGGCAATCTCGTTCCGAAAGCCCTGCTCCAGAACGCCGGAGCTCTTGAGACGAGACATTACGGTGCCCCAGCCTGGGCCATCAGAGCTTCCAGACAGGAATAGGTCGCAGCGATTTGTGTACTTCGGTTTTGAGGATTGGGAACTAGCATGTAACCTCCATCACGTGGTTGGAGACGCTTCGTTAACATCGTTAAGATTATGTACAGTCTCTTTTCCTGGCTACTCCCTCAAGGTATTCTTGACCCGGCTCGGATCACCATAGTCAGGGAAAGTGGGATGACAACATTTCCCGGCCGAATGTCGGCCGCCTTCACTATCCGAAGGCCGATTAAAGGAAGCAAGGTGATTAGTGTTGTGGGCGCATCAGGAAAGATGTCTAAAGATTGGGCCCTTAGTGTATGCCCATGCCCAAAACCCCCTTTCTGGCGCTTCTCTGTGAGCTAACACAGGGACGCACTCTTTGAAGCGTCTTCCCTCTCCTTATCAACCCTTTTTGCCACTGGACTCAAGTCTAGCCAGTTTAAGACCGCAATCATCTTGACCGAGGCCGACATGCAGCACCGATATCCCCAGCTTCAGAGGAGACGCTGTACACGAAGCAGCCAGGATGCCGATACTTATCAACCCTAAACCCCATACCCTATACCCTACATACACCCTAAACCCTAATGCAGGAGCAGCGGGAGACTGCCTTTGGCACTTAAAGCCCAAAGCCGAGCGGCAGCAGCCATCAAGGCGAAGTGAGATCCAAGCATCCGCTGGCAAAGGTCCGGAGGCCTCCTCCTGGGCCTTCCTGGGCTGCGCAGGAGAAGGCCTTTAGGGTTTAGAAGAGCCATGGGGGGGGTTCCGAAAATAGGGGACCCTACTTTACTATAGTACCCTAAATAGTAGGATACTTATTATACGGACCCCAAAGCAAGGTACCCCTATACTCCCAGATGACTACGGAGCTATGGACGTCTCCTTGGCCAGAAATTCGGAAAGCCTCGAAGTGCAGAAACTGCGACAAGTACCCTGAGGCCAGGCGAGGCACAGTTGGGCTCCTAGATGTGTCCACCAACGCTTCGGCAACAGGGGCCCCAGCTCGTGGTCACGAATTCGGTCGTGCTTCCTGGGGCAGATTTCGACGATGGGCGGCACGGGAGAGAAGCACTGTTTTGGGGGTTCCTTACTATAGTATACTATAATATAAGCCCAAGCCCTATTCCAACCATTAAAAGTCTAGAAACCGTATGCGTGCAAATGGACCGCAGCCCGGGTTCTGAGGGTTCTTCTTCGTGAGAACAGTTTCGATGGTCTCAAGCGTTTCGCCCAAGCCGTCTGGGAGCGGAGCAGTTTTCAAATTGTACGCATTGTACGCCTTCATTGTCTTCAAGCTTCTTCTGGCAATGACAGCTCCGGCACAGGTCGCCACTGAAAAAGGGGACAACGGACGGAGTGCTGATGGCTGCAAAAGCCATGCCGGCTGCCGTTGTAGCCATTGTCCCTTCTGAGGGCTTCCACGCAAACAGCAATCGCGGTGCGGCGCGGTACTGCGTCGGCAGTACAGCCAAGCAGGTAGGGCAGCATGCTGTGCTCCCAAAGCCATTAAGCAGGTCAGGAAAGCCAAAGGTTGGCTCTACACGGCAGAAAACATAGCTGACATAGCTACGTCAGTCAATCTGGCTCTACACATCTCCATTGACATCTCTACATCACACGCTACGACAGCACACATGAACCACACTTAGCGCTCAGCCATGCAAGATGTGGTCTGGCATCTGGCAGCACAAGAAAATCAACAAGACACCTGTCCTAATCGCCCGCCTGGAAAATCTTTTTCGGTGTTGCCGGCTTGCTGAAAAACACATGGCCTTCTCAACCATGTATGCGGCTACGCAAGCCCACCGTGCTTTCCAAGCACGGTGCAGCAATTCCGCGGTCTTCCGCTTTCTCAGCCAGTACGGCTTACCTGACCAGATCACGTGCAGCTGCGACGCTGTTGCATGGAGTCAATGATGTACATGATGGCAGCCGTTTGGAAATGACGAGCACCTGCTTACCTGCAGCATCGCGCGTAGGTAAATTCAGCATCCCAGCACAGAGGGTTTCCAGGCGGCGGAATGCAGCACTCCTGGCAAGCTCGGTTCACCGGCTGACCTATCGACAGGCAATGGAACGAGCCTGAAAGCTGTAGCCACCAACCCAGCAAGTCGGGTCGCCCGTATCTGAGCATGAAGCATGCTCTACCCGCAGCTCTTGCTGCAGCTCCTGCATCAAGCATTTTTCGAATCGTCTCCGCCCTTCCTGAAGCATGGTATACGTAACACGTTTCGAAATATCTGCCATGCACTTTTACGCCGGTTCCATACGGCATGGTTTCACAACCTGTCGTACCCAGTTCTCCCACAAGAAATGTCAGCCATGCACAGGGTTGCCAGCCATGCATTGTTTTGCTGCTGTCCTTCGGTTGCTCTTCTCGCCGTGTCCTTTCTGCAGTGGCTCTTCGGTGTTCTGTGCACTGCGTGGCTTTGAGATTCCATCCGTCCTCTCTCCGCTCAAACATGGTGACATGTGCATCTGCGCATGACCATCCGTTGCAAACATTTCCACCGCACCTGCTACTGATGGCTTAACCCGGGCACCTCTTGCCGGTCTTGCGGCTTCAACAATGAGGACGTGTACCTTCACTGCTTAACCTGCTGTACGTGATGTTGTTGGCGCTTGCTATGGCTTGTTGGCATGCCTTGCTTATAACAAGCGGCAGGAAGGTGATTAGGATGCTTTCGCCGAAAAATATTTTATACATTGGAGGATCAGCCCAAGCGGATCAGGGAAACCCTGTTCCGGCTCAGAGAGCAAGCTTCTTGAAACAATCCATAGGCAACGATCATGAGGCAAGCAACATCTCGTCTGCAAGCGATGCCGTGAGGCCTGGATCTGGAGCGCAAGCTGTTGAAGGCGATCCCGGTCACAGGCCTGTCCAACAACAGCCCCATGACGATGCGATGTTTTCGCGGTGCCCATCGCATCGACTCAACTCACACTCTGACTCTCCCAACCAAGCCCGAAGCTGCAAACCAACCTGACTGAAAACAGAATCCAAGGTTGCGGCTAGTTTGATGCACAGCTATGGCTGGGCATCTAACAGCAATCACGGGCTGCTTTGTTCGGTGTTGGAGAGCTCTGAATTGGCTCACAATTGGAAGCGTTCAACCCTTAACTGGCAGTGTTCGATGATGCTGCTCCACCACCAGCGGCATCGACTAAAGCCCGCCAGAGGTCTGCCAATCAGAACCTCTCCCGTCCACGGCCACTCTCCTGGGCCTTACTGGACGGTGTGGCGGTCGTGGTGTCGCTCGGTGGAACCTGTCGATGATAGCACCATGGCAACATGCCTCGTCCGCGCCATCAAAGGACTCCAAATTGCGAAAGAGAAACTGGCTCCAGCACAGGCTGTGATGGCTCAGTCGCTTCAGATTCGCTTTCTTCCGGGACCTGTTCCACCTCGCACTGTGCAATGCTGTGCACTATTAGCCACGGCAGCGGGGCACCGAAGCACTTCTGCGGGAAGTCTGCGCGCGGTGCCTCTGCGAAAGCCCTTGGCAAGGATTGAACATGGGTCGGTGCCCAACATGCTTTCCTTTCCCCGACTCTAGTTACTGGATTCGCAGTTTTTTTATGGTGCTGCTGAAGGCTTTGGAGCCTGATGCGGCCCAACTTGAAAAAACCATGCACAAAGCTTCTGGATTCTCTTGTGTGCCAGGTCCGGGAACTGCCCAGATGCTTTCAGAACAGTCATGTTGGGCACAGACTAGAAAAAGGAAACTGCCAAACATCGACACCACACTGGTCTGGAACCCTAAGCATCCGAAGACCTCAAATATGACCAAAGTGCTGGTTTGGTAAGCACAACAACGCAAGGCCTTGTTTTTTGTGGTTCCGGACGGAGGATGTGTGTGATGTATGAAAGTCCTAGGATTTCATATACTTTAGCCTATGGCATGCTTTCCTCTAATTACACATGCATGGTAAGATGCCATTTATAGCGAGCTTGCTTGACTTCATTGATTTTTTGAAAAAAATATTAAATTCCGACACGTTGGTTGAATTGAGAAAACATTGATTTATAGATTCTTGCACGGGTTTTGCTATGTGTATCAGATATGTATATAATGTATATATATATATATATGTATATATATATAGGGATTTGTCCGACACAGAAGCCACCAAGCAGCATCAACAACGAAAACAAATATGTATACATATATATAAATATATATTTTTATATTTACTTTATATATATATATACATATGTATCATTCTACATATATATACATATATACATATTATATATATATGTATAAATAGATACCGATTTTTATAGAGATATATAGATATATATATATATATATCGAATCCTTGCATTAATGCACAGGCTTGGAAGTCTCCAACCACCCGCCGCTTCGCCGCCCAGGAGCATGCAGGCATACATGTACAATTAGGAAGACCATGATCCTAGATATATATAGTGCAGTCACGATTATTCAAGGAATATGTTTTTCAAATTAGGAACTGGCCAGAATTCCCCAGATGTCTCGCACTCCAGACTGCACCGAGGCCCGTATCAAACAAACACGTGTGCATACAGACGACGTAGACTGCATGCATAGCCATATATATATGACAGAAGACTGAGCTCCCAATAATTCGTAATTCATGGTCGGTGCCCGCCAGCTGCGGCCTTCCTTTTGCCGAGGCCGGAAGCAGTGGATGGGATGAGGTTTCAGTGTTATAATATGTTTCAGCGATTTCAGGGGAGTTGTGTCTTCGGGGAAATATATTTTGTATATATATATATATATCGAATACATGGAGATGTTAATGTAGTTTTATTGATCTGGGCTTTGGCATAATGCGGGTTTCCGGTGCTGAGTGTGGAGCAGACATGTGTGCTTCTGCAGTTACAAGCATGGGCTCAGACCGCTGGGTCATGTACATGTTTAGGTTGCCTAGATTATATATATTTGTTAGTGCACAGGCATGGTCCTAGAATATGTACAACAATATATATACGGAGACTTGTAGACAAACAAGTCTCCGTTTGTCTGAGCCCTGCTTGTCGAGATCTTCCCTTCGGATCCTTGGCCGGAGCAGCTGGAAAATTAAATAGACATATATGTTATGTCACATAGTTGAATACGTATATTATATATATATATATATACATACATACACATACACTAGCGAGATATATACTATACGTGTGTGTAGCTTATGTATACCTATATATAATATAATATATATATATATATATATATATATATATATATTATATACAGATTCCAAGCTGAAGCCGGCAGGGGACGGATCCGTCGAGATCTCTAATTAAGTAGATATATACGACTACTACCATATATATATATATATGATATACATACGATACCAGGATATCTACATACATCAGCTCATGCATCATGAGCCTTAATTTATAGGCATAGCTCTAGATCTAAAGCTGCATTTTGCAGCACTTCGCCATGGCCGAGCGCACTGCTGGCGATGAGCAGCGGCAAGGCGTCACCCTGCTGCGGGGTCGCTGGGTGCTGTGCTTCGTCCCGGAGGTGGAGATGATGAATGTCCGCGGGTACAACCACGTCGGTGTCGACAGGTACCCCGGGCTTCCGTTTATGCCATGGCCTCCGGAGTTTCCGCCTTTTTTGGAGCCGCCTGGGTCAGTGGTGCGACCGGGCGACTTGTTGGTACCCATGGCTGCACAGTAAAGCCTTTATATACATACATATATATAAGCATATATATATACATTATCTTTCTGAATATATATATATATGTATATATATATATATATATGAAGATACATGTCAAGTTTTGCAGAGAACTGTTTACAGTTGATATTCGCTGCCTAGAATATATATATATATATATATATATATATTTTTTTTTTTGGTTTATGTATTTAGATATATATGTATTTAGATATATATGTATGTCTTTATATACATTGGAACCAGGCTCAGCCCGGGAACCTCGGTGCTCAGCCTGGGGTCTGGCCTGGCGAACGTGCTGCCGTAGCTGTGGCGGCAGCAGTCATTCTTGGTTTTTGTTAATATCTAATCGAATTCATATGCTGGGACTTATCTTGAATCAATCGGAGGATGGACCTGCCACGACTGCCGCCCCTGAAGCTTCTCATGAAGCTGAAAGGCTTTCTGCGGTAACTGTGGCAGCACTACACAACAAATACATATGTTAACTATATGTGTATACATATATGTATATATACATATATTTTTTCCTCATTATATGTCTATAGATTATACGGTATCTCATAGTTAAATAGCACACTATATATGTATATATGTTCCTATATATATATATATATCCAGGTCGATGCAGGAGCAGCCCAAGCACCTCCGCCTTCTCCCGTGGTGCATGATGCTGGGGCGAGTTTAGGATCTGAAGGAGCTGCTGCAGTAACTCTGGCAGCAAATAATAAGCTCGGCTGGCCTTTTTGTTGTTATATATACAGTACCACGTATGTTTTTGCTGAGCTCTTTTATATTTATGCAGGCCCCACGAGCAGCACCACCGCCTGCGGCTCCCAATGCACCTGGACCACCGCCTGCGGGTCCCAATGCACCTGGTCAAGATACTATGGAGGCAGTCTTAATTCACGAATTGATTTATGCACATCTGTCTACCCCTATATATTAATATATTTCGATATATTAATATAATATATAATGTATATATATATATATGTGTGTATAGATATATATATATATATATACTATGCATCATAAATGTCATGGTTGCTAGCGATTCTTCGGCAAGAGAACCACATATATACGGATGTGTTCGTGTGTATAATGTGTATATACACACGATGAGCGAGCAGAGGTCACACCGGACCTGGCGACGACCCCGAAGGCTGCAGCTGCCGCTTCGCAAACAATATAGTTTACTCGCTACTGACTGATCTATAGAGCTTCTATATATATATATACATATTTACATGTACATATGTATTTTTTTTTAATTTTTGTAGTATACAAATTGAGCGAACAGAGGTCGCAGCGGACCTGGCGAAGAATGCCCCGAAGGCTGCAGCTGCCGCTTCGCAAACAATATAGTTTACTCGCTACTGACTGATCTGAAGAGCTTCTATATATATATACATACTTACATGTACATATGTATGTTTTTTTACTTTTGTAGTATACAAATGAGCGAACAGAGGTCGCACCGGACCTGGCGAAGAATGCCCCGAAGGCTGCAGCTGCCGCTTCGCAAACAATATATATATAGTTTACTCGCTACTGACTGAGATATATAGAGCTTCTATATATATATATATATATATATACATGTACATATGCATGTTTTTTTTGCTTTTGTAGTATACAACAAGAGGACAGAGAATAGGTCCATAGAATGACTCGGGCTGAGGGTGATGACGTCAGAGCTTCCGGACTGCCAGAAGCGATCCCTGCGAAGACAGAGGCAGTACCCGCACAAAGTTTGGAAGTGTATATGGTATATAGCGATGCATGACTTAAATCAGTTTGGCTAAACACGGCTGCACAGGAGCCGACAGCTGCAGCTCCGCCCGAGCCTTCGGAGCCGGCACCTCCTGGGCTTCCGGTGCCGCCACCACCGCCTGAGGAGCCTCAGGATGATGCAATGGCTCCAGTGACTCTGGCAGCAACAGTATTAGATATTTGTTAGTGCGGTTGTAATATAGTGATCAAGATGTGTGTATACGTATATGTATATACAAGTAGCTATATATGTATATGTTGAATAGACATGTATATATATATATACACCACACATTACAAATTGATATATGTATATTTACATACATATATGTGTATGTATCTAGGCATATATATATGTATAATACGTGTATATAGCATGTTGGGATCGAGGCCGTTCCCGGCAACATGACCCCGGAGAAGAAGGATGCGGCAGCTCCTCCAGCAGCTGTGGCAGCAGGAAGACATGTACATCTGATATAGTTATGAAATAAAGAACAGCTACCGAAACGGGCGAAAGGTGACTCCACCTCGACGGGGCTCTGCAGCTGCTGCCACTGGTTCGAGACCTCGTGGCTCCCGGTCGCCAGCAGCTTGGACTGAATATATTGTGTAACTTACTATATACCTGTATCTGTAAATCTATATATATATATATGTATATATACACATATATATATATATATATGTATCTGTATATATATATATATATATATATACATATACACATATAATATATTATTGTAATACTTGTTATATAGTACATTTGCTCTGCAGGGGCTCGACGAAGAGCTCGAGGAGGAGGAGGTCTCCTGGAACCCTTCGGATGTCGAGGAGGCGGACAAGAGGGGGGCCAAGAGGAACGTGCAGGACATCTGGTTTCGTCCGGATGGGCAGGCTCCAGAGAAGAAGGCCGCGAAGAGGGAGACTGGGGCAAGGGCGAAGAGCAAGTCGAGGCCACAGCCACGTGTGCCGAAGGTGCCGAAGGCGAAGAACGTGGTGACGAAGCCAATGCCAAAGAGGCCGGTTCCGCCCGCCCACC